AGGAACAATCTTGTTGAGATTTGTCACCACTATGTAAAAGGGATGAACCTTTATCCTTAGCATAATGAATGTGACACTGCCTACATCCATCCTGTGGGACAGCTAAAAGAATGAGCCCCAGCATCACACATGCCAACCAGTCTACCAGAGCAATCATCCATATAACTATGGAATTTCCAATTCTGGAAATGGCTCATAGCAAAACTGAATTTTCTATTCTGTTCATCATATGGGTGAAACCACTGTCAGTAGAGAACAGAAGGGGGGCTGCATGGTTAGGTTGCACCAAAGACATTTTGCTTTTATGAATCCACTGAAGAAAAATGACTTTTGGTGCCATGTGGCTTGCACTTCTCTCCAGCAAGACAGCCTAGCTCCCTCAACCCCATTGTGTGTCTAGGAAAAGATAGTAAAAACATTTCCTTGAGAGGTAAAGACTACAAGGAAGCTACAAGTTCACTGTGCACAGGTGAGAAAGAAGGACCATCTGTAGATTATTTTTCTATCTGAACAGACATTTATGTTTTGAATTCTTTATTTCCAACAATTCCCTTCATTATCTTTTGCTGGGCCCAAGGATACTGAAGCCATCCATCGCTTTACTTGTCTTCCAAGTTCATCAGTGCCTGCACAACATGGTAACAACAAAGTTAAAGACATTCCACTCTTCCAGAAAAGGGAAAAACTGGATAGCCACATAAGAAGGATCACCAGGATGAAAATAAACAAGATAACCAAGTTACCACCTCCAAGGTCAGCTTCAATGGCCACAGTTAGGTATTTGTGGATTCCAGCAATTCTATTTCAACTATCAATACGATCGTATTCAAAAAGATGAGGAAGATGACGAAGTTTGTGAAGAGAGGACACCCAAGGACCCATCCGATCCACAAAGAAAGAGGTTACCTCTGACTGCAGCGCACATGAAGCCTGCTCAACAGCCTCTGCGCATGTGAAATCTGTCGTATATGTTGAGTCTTTACAGAGAAGCACACTAGCTGGTGTTGATTTCCCAACATAAGTTTCTTCTGGCGGGAAGGATCAAGTAACTCCCTGATAGCCTGCCACGGCACAGCTTGACTCAAGCCCTGCAAATGCTAGATGAGAAAGTATCGATGAGACATGAACGAATGGCGTCAACTAGGGGCAGCTGCATCTGCCCTTCTTGGTGATAACTGGCCATGTCTGCTCAGCCCAGGTTCTCTTCGCCCACTCAGTGCTAACTTCACGCTTCCACCTCCAGCTCTGGCGCCCCCTGAGCCCCGCTTCCCACACGCAGGATGAGCTCAGGGCCGGCCCCCAGCCTCACTGCACCCCATTCCCAGCCCCAGCCCTAGCCCAGGATTGGGCCCAGCCACGCTCAGGTGAGCCGCCTCACTCCGCCCAGCCGACCATGTGTAGATTTTAAGGTTTTTTTTTCTTTTCTTTTCTTTTTTTTAACTGGAGAAATCTATCACACACCAGAAAAAAAAATTGTGTCCTCCTCTAAAAAAAAAAAAGGTCATGCCAAAAAATCAGATTCATAATAGAAAAGGAAGTATACCTCCAAAGTAGGCAAAATTATGTTTTATGTTTTAAAAACATGCAAAATAATTTCATGATGAAATACCTTGATTTGCATGTGACTTAGAACTTATTTCATATTAACCAGATTCAGTTGCTGTGATAAATCTATTATGTGTTTTAGAAAATCTATTTTTAAAAAATATGTATTTTTAAGCCAGAAGATAAACCTGGCATTTGTGTATCCATGTGTAAGCTAGCCTGCTTGGTATCATGCAGCCAAGATACTAAAAGATTAATACAATTATTTAAAAAATCTCCTGTTACAGACTAACAAATAATATATTTCCTCAAATTTTCTGGCTATACTACTTTCTATTAATGCAATCTGAATTTTCAGATATAAATACCAGTCAATGGTTGTTTGTTAAAACTTAAAAGCAATAGGGTTGGGAGGACCTTTGCAATATTCATCATTAAATCATAAGTACAGTTATTCTGGACCATAGTAAGTGGAATGCCCTAACTTTTCTTAGTTCAAACTCTGCAAATTGATTCTAAAGTTTATAATCGCGCCCTTTTACGTGCTTTAAGTGGATGTACTGACTTTGTGGTGTATACTCTGTAAGAGAGCAGGTAACTCCAGCACAGAAGAAACCACGTAATGCAGAACTGGGGAAGACTTCAGTGGCCCTGTTCTATTTTTATTGATCCAGACCATTGCTTTCAATCCTGCACTGAGGCCTCCTTGGACGTCGGTTTCTAATGTGTTACTGACCGTCACACAGTCCCCAGGTTGTACTTTGAGAAGACTGCAGCAGTAATAAAATATGGATGGTGCTGGCTTCTCTCTCTACTCTCCACCTCCAATAGCGTGGAAATACAACTGACAGGCACAAGCCTCAATCTTCTCTCTCTGGGTCTGTCTGTCCCCATTCCTTAATAAAAGTAGGCGGGCCTCCTTTCGAAGTTCGGAGAGCATGACTTTGATATTTTCTGCTAGTGTCATAAGCTGTAAACATGTAGATTTCCCAAGGAAGTGACATGCTTCAGTTAATTTTCTATTGGTGGCACCATCTTTTGTTTCCTGGATTGCTTCTTCCCAATTGAAGTCCTTAGATCAGTAATGCATGTACTGTAAGGATGAAAACATTCCTTCCTGAGTTCAACTTGAATTTTATCACAGATGATTTCAGCCTTTTCTTAGAATTATATTTTGGTTGTAAGAACTTTAACACCTCCGACAGGTCTCTCCTGCTTGCCCCGGCCATGTCGATGAGCATGTTGTCCAGGTCAAAGAAAGAGGCCAGCATGTGGCTCATCCCCGTAGCCCCTATGGCTCCTGTCACCCTTGCACGTGTGAAGCGGGCATCCCGCAATGTCATACTTTTAATAATATGTGATTTTTTTTCATTGACGGGTATTAAATTTTTTTATCATGTTTTAGGTTGTTCTGTGTACTGTAATAAATTCTCTTCAAGAGTTATCTATTTTTTTCAATTGATTAGTCTTAATTACCATATCTTTATATGCCTATCTGGGAAAGAATAAAATGCCCTCTAGAATTGTGCAACATGGAAGCCTTGTCTAGAAGAAACTGACAGTGTTGAATTTTACCTAAGTTCTGTGCTCCTGGAAAAGAGCAAAGATGGAGAAATCCCCCACCCTTTTGTGTTTCAGAAAGGCCTTGCTGAAAAGAAGCACCTTTTCCCATATAATTTAGATAAAACTCATGTATACTGCCTTGTTCACCTATGACAAGGCCAGAAACAGACTCCAAATTCCCACTCTTTGCCTCATAAATGATTAACTAAACTTGTTTGTACTAATGATCGGTGGGAACAAAATGCTTGTTCATCACACTTTGTTTAAGTTATTCTGTCTATTCCCCAGGTCCTTGAACCTTGGCCCATCCTCAGTCTGAGTCAGCATGTAACCCCTCTTCAACAGCAGCTCTGGAGAGAAGGCTGACTTCAGGGTAAAACATTCTTTAACCCCATTCTCTTATCCCACTTGCCCACATCCAAATCTTTCTAATCTAGTTTACTCCTCTCTATAAGAGAAAACCTCTTTTCACCTAACTCTTGAGAAGCTTGCAGGTATTATGGTCAAATAGTTCCTATTATTGCAATAGCTCCCCTTCTCCTATTGAAAGAGATTCTTTACCTCTTATAATAATCCTTCCAACAAAATCTGTCCTTACTAAGTCTGGGTTTGCTTTTTATTTGACAGGACACACTGGTTACCTTTTATAAAATTTTTTTCTTTCATATTCTCAAATAAGAAAAAATTATTTTGCCATCTCTGGCCCCCATCTGATTTAGGTTTTTCAAAAACTTTTTGAAGGTATAACTTACATACATACAAATGTATGTATAACTTTCATATATTTAAAAGGTAAAATTTGGTGATATTTGACAGGTGTATAACCCCTGTGAAACTTGTATTACACAATGTATGGAACATTTCTGTCACCTTTGTTTTCTTGAGCCACTTTGCATATAACCCCACTTCTGCCCTTGGATCTATGCAACCACTGATCTGTTCTCTGTCAGTATATGCTAATTTGCATTTTCTAGAACTTTTTATGTGTGGAATTATATGGTGTGTCTGGCTTCTTTCACTCAGCATAACGATTTTGAGATTCAACAATATTGTTGCAGTTATTAGTAGTTAATTCCTCTTTTGTTATTGGGTATTATTCCTTTTGTATAGATATACCATATTCTTTATCCACTAATCTACTGGTGAATATTTCTGATTTTTCCCCCAGTTTTAAGATGGCTATAAGCTGAATGTTTGTGTCTTCCCAAGATTCATATGTTGAAAACTAATCCCCAATGTGACGGTGTTTGGAGTGGGGCCTTTGGGAGATGATAGGTCATATGGTTGTTGGGAGGTGAGACCTTTGGAGATAATAGGTCATATGGCTGGAGGCCTCATGAATAGGATTACTGTCCTTATAAAAAAGGCTTCAGAGAGTTCCTCTGCCTCTTCTGCTGTGTGAAGAAACAAGGAAAAGATGGCCATCTGTCTATGAACCAGGAAGTGGGACCTCACCAAAAACTGAATCTGCCTGTGGCTTAATCTTAGACTTCCCATCCTCCAAAACTGTGAGGAATAAATTTCTGTTGTTTATAAGTCATGCAGTATATGGTGTTTTTATTGTAGCAGCCCCCACTGAGAGGGATATTGCAAATAAAATTACTATGAACATTTAATTACAAGTGTTTGTGTGAACATATATTTTCATTTCTTTTGAGGAGGAGTAAAAGGGCTGGGTCCAAAGGTAGGTATATATTTGAATCCTAAGAAACTGCCATAGTACTACCATTTTACATTTTTACCAGCAGTGAATAAACCTCTTTTAGGTTTGAATTAACATTATGTAGTTTGGGAAGAAACAACGTGGTAGTGATATTCAGTTTTCTATAGAGGCAAACGCTATACACTTTTAGTTATTAAAAATGTTCACATCACTCAGTGAAGTTGGTTTTTCTTTTTTTTTTAATTTTTAATTCCTTCATGTCATCCTTGTGCAGGGGCCATGTTAAGCTCTGTATCATTCCAATTTTAGTATATGTGCTGCTGAAGCGAGCACACTCTGAAGTTTTATGTCTTTTCATCCCATAGGTCTTATTAATTTCCTGTTAGGATTAGTACTAAGTATTTCATGTTTCTATTATGGAAGATAACTTTTGTTTTAGTTTATGTTTTAACTTTTTTAAAACTATAAATATTTTTCAGATTGGTTTTAGATTTGCAGAAAAATTGTGAAGATAGTACAGAAGTTTCTACATATCCAGTATCCAGTTTCTCTATTATAAACATCTTAAGTTAGTCTTGTACATTTATCATAATTTATGAGCCAATATTAATACATTATTGTTAACTAAAATCCATACTTTATTCAGTTGTCCTTTGTTTTTAACCTAATGTCCTCTTTCTGTCCAGGATTCCATCCAAGGTACCACATTATATTTGCTAATCACGTGTTCTTTGGCTTCTCTTGTTTGTGATGGTTTCTCAGACTTTTGTTTTGCTTTGTTCTTAATAACCTTGACAGTTTTGAGCAGTAGTGATAAGATAATTTATAGAATACCCCACAATTGGGATTTGTCTGGTGTTTTTCTCATAATTAGACTGGGGTTATGGGTTTTGGAAGTAAGACCACAGAGACCAATTGCCATTTTCATCACATGGTACAAGGGCACACACTACCATCATGACTTATAGTGCTCATGTTGACCATGAGTTAGTGTTTGTCAAATTTTTCCACTGAAAAATTACTCTCTTCCCACCCCCTTTACATTCTGTATTCTTTGGAAGAAAGTTACCATGCACAGACCACTCTTAGGGAGTGAGGAATTATGTTCCCCCTCCTTGAGAATGGAGTACCTACATAAATTACTTGGGATTCTTCTGCATGGGAGGTTTGTTTTTCCTCCCACATTTATTTATTCAATTATTTATTTATATCACTATAAACTTATGGGTTTTCATTTTACACATTGGGTTATAATCCAATATTTCTTTTTTTTTTCTTTGAGACAGGGTCTTGCTCAGACCGGAGTACACTGGCACAATCATGGCTCCCTGCAGCCTCAACCTCCTGGGCTCAAGCAATCCTCCCACCTCAGCCTCCCAAGTAGCTGGGACTACAGGTGCATGTTATTATACCCAGCTAATTTTTTAAATTTTTTGTAGAGACAAGGTCTCACTATGTTTCCCAGGCTGGTCTGGAACACTTAGGCTCAAGCAATTCTCCTACCTTGGTTTCCCAAAGTGCTGGCATGAGCCACTGTGCCCAGACTCAGTATTTATTAAACTATTTTGTGGCTCAAATTGTTCCAGCATTGGTCACTGGGAGCTCTTTCCATTGGCTTCTCTGTCCCTTTGATGTACCTCCATCATTATGCTTATGAATTATTTAAAATTATGTTTATTTTTATACTTTCTTACTTTCTGGCACTACAAGATTCTCAAGCCTTATCTTGTTTATTGCCTGCCCCATTTTTAGAATTGACCATTTCTCCAAAGAACCCTTGTTCCTTTAATTAAACAGCATTAAATATAAACTAATATATTTCAGTATATTAGAAACCAAGATCTGAGCTAGGCATGGTGGCTCATGCCTGTACTCCCAGCACTTTGGTAGGCTGAGGCAGAAGGATCACTTGAATCCAGGAATTTAAGGCTGCAGTGAGCCATTATCATGACACTGTACTCCAGCCTGGATGATAGAGTGAGACTCTGCCTCAAAAATAAAATAAAATAAAATAAAATAAATAACTGAATAGCTTTCCATGTTTCCAAGACAGTTTTGATCACATTTAATCTTTTAATGTTTGAAATTATGCATTTGCAGAATTACTTGAGCCTAGAGTATACTGGAGGCAGTTCTTTGACACATTTTTCATGGTATTGGTATTCAGGGCTTCTATTTTGTTCCTGTGTCAAGTTTTGAAGCTAAAATTTCCAGAAAATCATGAGGAGAGCCAGAAGTCTTGAAAAATTGAGTTAATATAAAGTATAGGAAATGAAAGTAGCTCAGTGCCTTCTCAGCAGTTCTTCTTTGTACTCAATACTGCTAACTTCTAGAACTATTTGTGTCTATTCAGTGCTTTTAAGGAGACAGACAAGTTCCTTGGCATTGGACATCTTTGTTAATGATTCCAATTTATAAATTCTGAAAGTTACTATTGTGTGACCATGACCAAGGTACTTAATCTCTCTCTTTTTTTTTTTTGAGATGAAGTGTTGCTCTGTCGCTCAGAATGGAGTGCAGTGGCAAGATCTCGGCTCACTGCAACCTCCACCTTCCAGGTTCAAGCAATTATCCTGCCTCAGCCTCCTGAGTAGCTGGGATTACAGGTGCCTGCCATCACACCCGGATAATTTTTGTAGTTTTAGTAGAGACTGGGTTTTGCCATGTTGACCAGGCTGGTCTCGAACTCCTGGCCTCTAGTGGTCCTCCTGCCTTGACCTCCCAAAGTGCTGGGATTACGGGTGTGAGCCACTGTGCCTGGTGTTACTTAACCTCTCTGTTCTTTAGTCTTTTTCTTTGTAGAGGTAAACATAATATTTACCTTATAGGGTTAATCCTAAGATTATGAGATAGTCTTAGGATTACATGTAAAGTGGTTAGTATAGTGCCTGACAAATGGAGAGTTTTTTTTTTTTTTTTTTTTTTTTTTTTTGGAGACAGAGTCTCGCTCTGTCACCCAGGCTGGAGTGCAGTGGCATGATCTCGGCTCACTGCAAGCTCTGCCGCCTGGGCTCACGCCATTCTCCTGCCTCAGCCTCCCGCGTAGCTAGGACTATAGGTGCCCGCCACTATACCCGGCTAATTTTTAAATTTTTTTTAGTAGAGACGGGGTTTCATCATGTTAGCCAAGATGGTCTCGATCTCCTGATCTCGTGATTCACCCACCTCGGCCTCCCAAAGTGCTGGATTACAGGCATGAGCCACTGCGTCCGGCGAAAGTTTTCAATAAATGTTCTTCTTGCTAAGACTTACTGAACTATTAATTAAACTATATTTTTCTAGACTAATTAAACAATTATATCTGCCAAGGCCTTTATAGCTATTTAGACATTCTAGTTTTAATCATTTTGCATCATATTTTTCCAGTTCAATTACTTACTGCCTCAGTTCAACATCTTGTAGAATTTAGGACTACAAAAGGGGAGGAAAAACAAAGGAAAGAAGAGTGGTTGTGGTAATGAATTACTGCTGTGTTGAAAATGTCCCCCAAATTGGATTGTGGTACATTAAAAAACAGTAGCAATATGTAATCTAACAAAAACAAAGAGCCATCAATTTAAAAAACGGAATAGAAATGTAAGTTATATTGTTTTCATATGATAAAAACCTCATCACTTTAGGTAACTTGCAATGGTTCTCAACTTTGGTGCTCAGCTGGATTACCTAAGGAGTGACAAATTCTGTTTCATTAGGTTTGAGGTAGAACCTAGAACTTTATGAACTTTGTGAACATGCTCTAGAGAAGCCTTCGAACACCTCAAAGATGGAGAACAATCTGTGGAGTAGAAAACTCAGTAGGTTTGAAGTCAGAAGGCTTGAATTTTCTACCTGGTCGTTTTCCTCTCTGAGTTTTAGCTTTCTCATCCGTAGAAGTAAAATCTTAGATTACGTCAGTGGTTTTCAATTCAAGCCGCAAGACAGATTTCCTAGGAGTACTGATGCCTGCAAGTTTCCCCCATACCAGGTTCTAATTTAATTGGCCTGGGGGTTCCTCACGTGATTCCAATGTGAGCCAGGCTAGAGGATTACTGTGCTACGCAATCTTTAAATTCCATTCTTGTTTGAGAATTAGATGATTCTAGTAATGGAGTTAATTTGTATTCCATTCAGATAGTTAAGTTAAATTCCCAGTCATCAGAATTGGGTTTTAAAATTTTAATTATTTAACTCCCAGTAGGAATATTTAATTCAAAATATAAAATTGGCTGGGTGTGGTGACTCACGCCTGTAATCCCAGCACTTTGGGAGGCCAAGGCAGGCAGATAACTTGAGGTCAGGAGTTGGAGACCAACCTGGCCAACATGATGAAACCCTGTCTCTACTAAAAATACAAAAATTAGCTGGGCATGGTGGTGTGCACCTATAGTCCCAGCTACTCAGGAGGCTGAGGCAGGAGAATGGCTTGACCCCAGGGGAAATCAAGCCACTGCACTCCAGCCTGGGTGACAGAGTGAGACTCTGCCTAAAAAAAAATATATAAATTTATATTATATATAAAAATATATATTAATATATTATTATATATATTTATTTATAAATATATATAAATATATATTATATAAATTTATATATATAAATATATATTATATAAAATATAATATATATTTACATGATATTATATATATCCTGTTATAAAACTGATTGGTGAAACAAACAAATCCAAGCAAATAAAGTGCTTTAAAAAATAATCCCTGTATTCACCAAGATAGAGAAAGAAAAAAAAAAAAAAAGGAAAAAAAAATCCTTTGCTGAGTGCAGCAGTCGGTGCCTATAATTCCCACTAATCAGGAGGTAGAAAGATTGCTTGAGGCCAGGAGTTCTAGTTCAGCCTAGGAAACATTCCTCTAAAAAAAATTCCTGCAGGCAGAAAACAAAGATTATTTTAAGATTATATATTCTATGTATGGCTAAGAAATAATATAGTAGAAGTAATAAATATCCAATTTAATTAACCTAGAATTTTAAGAAAATATAAAAGCAACACTGCACAGCCAAAAAATACAAAAATTAGAACAGATCCCCGAGGAAAATCAGGCAGAAAAAGACATTTTTATAGATAGCTAGTGTCAGGAAACTGAAAGAAACAAAAAGACAAGAATTATACCAATGGTATAACCAATGAAGAAATAGTTCAGGACATATTGGTGACAATTTGGGTGAAAGGGTGAAAGGCATGAAGCTGTGAAGGAAGTCCCTGCCCTAAGAAAAACTATCTCAACCTGGAGGTTGACAGAAAGAAGGACATCTCTCTATCAGCAACAAAGTCACTTAAGAATAATTTATATATAAAAATAATCATGATAGGTGTACGTGAGGACCTTGCATTAAATATT